AGCTCAGCAGTGAGCAAAGCTGTCCTCGGAGGTGTCGCGGAGGTCCAGGCCTGCCACGGCCGGGGGGTGGAGGCAGGTGAGGTTGTTGTAGGTGTAAACGGGGACGTGGGCATCATCCCCCTCAGCCACAGACTGCACAAAGCGTGGGACCACCACAGGGTGCTGCAAGGAGAAGTCCCGCAAGCCCTTCAAGGAGCAGTTGCAGTGCCAGTTGTTGCCCCCCAGCCACAGCTGCTCCAGGGTGAAGGGGCTGCACAGGAAGCCCACTGAGAAGGTCTCCAGTGAGTTATTCCTCAAGCTGAGGTACCGCAGGTTGGCTAGGGGGGAGATGATGGAGTTGTCCAGTGTCTCCAGCTGGTTATGGGAGAGGTCGAGCCAGAAGAGTCTCTGGAGCGGGCTGAAGGTGTCCTGGGAGATCTCCAGGAGCTGGTTGGAGGAGAGGAAGAGGTACTCCAGGTTGCTCAGGCCCTTGGCTGCTCAGCCTGTTGTGCTTAAGGTCGAGCTCCAGGAGCTCGTGCAGTTCGTTGAAGCTTTGGTCCTCGATGACTCCGATGGCGTTGTGCTGCAGGAAGAGGCGCCGCAGGCTGGTGAGGCTGGAGAAGGTGTGCACCCGGATCCTGCCCAGGCAGCTGTGCTCCAGGTGGAGGCTGTGCAGCTTGGTGACCCCCTTGAACACATAGTCAGGCAGCACCTTGATGCAGTTCGCAGACAAGTGCATCACCGCCACATTGTACAGCCCCAGGAACGCCCCGGCCCTGATGTCCTGTAGCTGGTTGTTGTTGAGGCTGAGGACCTCCAGCTGGCCCAACCCATCGAAGGTCCTTTCTGCCAGGCTCCGGATCCTGTTGTGCCCCAGCTGCAGCTCCTCCAGGAACTGGAGGTCTTTGAAAGTCCTGGGCCTCAGGCTGGTGATGGAATTGGTGGACAAGCGTAGGACATGCAGGCTCAGGAGGCCCAGGAATGTGTCTTCAAACAGCGAGACAAGCCGGTTGTGGGACAGGTCCAGCCACCGGAGGGACTTCATGCCCATGAAGGCACGGGGTGCGATGGCGTTGATCTGGTTGTGGTTCAGGTACAGCTTCTGCAGCTTCTGCAGCTTGACAAAGATGTTGATCTTGATGCCCTTGAGCGCATTCCCGCTCAGGTCCAGCTCCTTCAGCTCAGTAAGGCTGCAGAAGAGCTGGTGCTGGAGGTAGGGGAGCTTGTTCCCAGCCAGTATCAGCTCCCTCAAGTTGGGCAAGTCATGAAAGACCTTGTCGGGCAGGACCACGAGCGAGTTCCAGCCCAGGTTCAGGTACCAGAGGTTGGAGAGCCCAGCGAATAGCCCTTCCTCCACCTTACTGAAGTGGTTGTTGTTGAGGCTGAGGGACACGAGGTTCTGGGTGTGCAGGAAGGTGTGGGGAGCCAAGTGCTTGAGGCGATTGCGCTCGAGGTGGAGGTGGTAGAGGCCCCGCAGCCCGTGGAAGGCGTGCTGCTCCACAGCGGCCAGCTGGCTGCTCTGCAGGTCCAGGAAGTCCAGAGATGAGAGGTTCCTGAAGGCAGCGGCCGGCAGCAGGGTGAAGTTGTTGCCGTCCAGCCAAAGGGCCTTGGCAATGGGGGGCACATCCTCAGGCAGGCGCGTCAGGTTGCGGGAGCTGCAGAAGACATTGAGCTCCTCGGTGTAGTCGTCCAAGCTGCAGGCGCAAGGGCTGGGGCAACGGGGGGGGTCCGCGTCCCCCTGCTCCTTCGCAGTGTCCCCCCCAGGGGTTTGAGAGGCCGTGGCCAGCAGCAGGGCCAAGGGGAGCATGAGGGTGATGCCCGCTGCAGGGTGGAGAGGAAAGGGGATGCATCAGCGTGGGGTCGTGGGTGCTCAAAGGGAACCCATGGGACCCCCCCCACTGGGGGGCTGTGC